TCCCTCGAGTTCGCAAGCGGCAGGGAGTATCCCGAGAGCAGAGTGTTTTCCTTGGCAGCGGCTTCGCCGTGGGTCTGCGCCTGGATCACAGGATGCGGTTGTGCTAAAAGTTTCAGTACTCTGTTTATTAGCCTGAAAAAAAGAGATTATTAGGAATCTGATTTGAGTTTTCAGAGTTCAAAATTAAAAATGAAATTTACTTTTTTTTTTTTTAAATGCAGTTTGAATTTCGCTTCGATCTCTCTCAACAAAAATAAGGTGCATCGGTGTGGGATGAAGTGCCTGCAGATGACGCTCGCCTCTCCCCAGGGGTTACAGAGAGCATAGGTGGGACTGCGGCCTGGGCTGGGACGCCTCCTGCCCGCTAAGGGGGGGTGAGATGAATCCCAGCCTAATCTGCAGACAGGAGCATAGAGTTGGTCATGATTACAAGGAAAAACAAAAGAAACGTTGCCTTCTTGGCAGCAAATCGCACACCAGACTCGGTGTGTTTCACTTGACAGGCTCAGTGCTTACCTCTCTCCCTTGAAAAGAGAACAGGGGAACTGTACAAAGGAGATTTAAAAGTAAAACCTTTTATTCTCAATATAGCAAAGTACTTTTTCACTAAAGGGGAAAAAACAAACAAAAAAAACCAAAGCCAAATGAGCCTTGCAGAGGAGGGGTGCAGCATGCCGGCCCTGAAGCTCTGCTTTGCTGATGATCTGTGCCTGCGAGGAGTATGACAGTGCACTAATTGTTGCAGCCTCTCGTCCTGCAAAATCCTTTTTCCCCATTCCAGCTGAAACTTCTTAGAAACAGGCTGTTTGTTTCCTTGGCTGGATTTAAATATTTGTATCTGCATCAAATCAGATAAGTCAGAAAGTTAAATTCCGAACTTCCTATGGAGCTGTCATTTTAATTTATCCTTAGAGTTGGGCTTGTGCTCTGCAACAGTAAATTAGAATCTCTGCAATTAAACACACTGTTGCACAAAGGAAATTAGGCTGAACGCAGCTGGAAGTTAATAATCCTTTTAAATGGTGATTCAGTTTTAGGCGGTGTAAGCTGTTGTGCTGTGGCTCTCGGCTGAGGGAGTTGTCCCTGCGGGTCACGGCAGCGGGGTGGGCTCTGGTCCCGAGCGGCAGAGCTTATGACGAAGCGCATTTGTTACACGGGCCACTTCGCCCTTCTTTCTTTGCTTTCCTCCCTGCAAAACATGAGTGAAAATGCTGGAGGCCTCCAAAAAGTTTCTAAGATGCATGAAGCGAAGTGGAAAAAAAAATGCAGTGGGAAGCAAATGCTGTTTGCTTTGAGAGAGCAGAGCCCCGTCCCCTCTGCTGGGGCAGGCCAAAGCAGTGTCCCCCAGCAGAGAGCAGGCAGGACAAGCCCGTCGTCTCACCGGACAAGCCCGTCGTCTCACCGGAGAGCCGTGCTGCGAGAGGGGATGGCACCGCGCTTCACTTGTGCTGGAGAAGGTGCTGCTGGGGCGGCCGTGGAGCGGAGCCTTGCGCAGAAGACGTCAGACACAGTTCAGAGCCAGGACGTCCGTGCAGCTGGGTGTTTTGATTTGATTCTCCTTGAAGGATTCCTTGCCCCCTAGGAAATGTTGTAATCATCTTAGTTGGAAGCTAATTGAAGGCCTTAAGCAAGACTGTTTTCTCTTCTGTGTTCCCAAACTGTGCCTGTCGCTATGGTACCTGAACACCTTCCAGTTGCAGGGGTTATCTGCTGTTGCATATTTAGTGTAAGATGACATCCAGGCGATTTGCTCACCGGGTGACATCGGGACAGCCAAAATGAGGCGGCTCGTGAGCAGCACAGCCGCAGCCTGGCAGCTTTCAGATCACTCTGCAAGTCCTGCTTGTTTGCCAGTTCCCCCACTACAACCAGAGTCAAACGCTGACTAAATAATAACGTGCTTACAA